CAGTTTGAATCCACCAGCCGCTCCTTGGAAACCCTATGGAGCAGTTCTACTCTGTCCTATAGGGTCGCTATGAGTCGGAATTGACTCCACGGCAAAGGGTTCGGTTTTCGGTTGGCACAATAACGAGCCTTGTGGCGCAGTGGTGAAGGGCTCGGCTGCTGACCTTTCTAACTGAAAGCTCTGCCGTTGAACCCACTGGCAGCTCCGCAAGAGAATTCCGTAAAGATTATAGCCTTGGAAACTCTATGGGACAGTTGTATTCTGTCCTATAGGGTCTCTGAGTTGGAATCCACCCCTTGGCAATGGGTTTTGGTTTGGTGACACAACGGCTAGTTAAGAGCTCAGCTGCTAATTGAAAGTTCGGTGTTTGGAATCCACCAGCAGCTCCGCGGGAGAAAGACCTGGCAATCTGCTTCTGGGTCACTATGAGTTGGAATCCACTCTGCCGCACCCAACTACAGCTTATGGAATAAATCTGGAATAGTTCTAGTAAATCAAGATATTTTCAGGTGAGAGCAACTTGACTCAGATTAATTCTAGTTTCATGAAAAGTTGGATTGTATCATGTGAAGAACACAGCCTGAAATTCTTCTTGGAACATTTCCTCGTTGTCAGCTCCCAAGCGAGAGCACAGCTGAAATTTTCTAATGTTTAGACCACACTTCCTGGGGTTCTCAAAACACATGGTCTCTAGGCCTTCATTTTTACAGAATTAGAATGATGAACACAGAAAAATAGAATTAAAATTTCTCAAAGGAATACTTTTTAAATGACTAATAAATGACTAGGTTTTTGCAGTACTTTCCTAAGTAATTTTCATCCTATTAAAAAATAAACAAACATAAAGGTAGAAGAAAAACCTGCATTTAATACAAAAATAGTCTAAAAATAATAAGTGACTAAAAAATAGAAACAGGAAGTTACGTTATTATAGCTGCAGACATATCATAGAAACATTATGGAAAGATTGCACAGCATAAATAAATGCATTCAAAATCCACAGACAAGTGTACTTATCCATTTGAAGACCTGATTTTTGGGGTTCCACACATTTTTCAAGGGGTGGTTTGCTGTGTATGAGGTTAGTTTACTTAGCTTGGAGACAGAAAGCTAAGTGTTGACTTTAATAGTGGTATAAGGTCTGATCTTATTTTGTGGAGGATCATGTTTCTAGCATCTTTTTAGCATCTCCTCTTCATCGTCTTCTCTACCTCTTCTAAGAGATCCTCTCCATCTGCTGGAAGGTAAATACCACAGGAGCAGAGATTTTATCTGTCCTGATCACCACTCTATTCCCAGCTCCTAGAACCCTGCCTGACATTTGGTTGGCATTCAATAAATATTTGATGAATGAACTGATTAGTGGAGAGTCTGTTCTGTGTGGTTAAGATATAGCTTACCCCATCTGAGTCTGGGATTGCTGGTTGCCATCCGGTTCCCTGCACTTCAGAAAGCTTATCTGGAATATAGGGGTAGAGAGGGAAAGAAGAGTCCTGCAAACATATTTGAGCACTGGATCCAGCAGTGCCTGAAGGCCACTGCCCCTTTGTCTTCCTTTTTAATTACAATTCTCCACTTCCCATTTGTTTTCTTTTTTGTTGGCTGTCTTTGTTTGCTTAAATGATTTTGCGTCATATTTTTGTCATTTGTAACCAAAAGAGTCCTAATACATATAATGATAAAAAATATGTCTTGAGTCATTATTATGTGCCAAGCACTGAGCTCTGTGTTTTACATGCATTATTTCCTTTACTGTTCACCACAGAAGTGAGACATTACATAATCCCATAACTCAAATGATAAACAACTATATTCCAAATTATTTGAAAATGGAATGGGAAGAAATTAGTTTGAGGTTCAATTTGAAGGATTTAGATTAAGCAGAAGAGAGATGTTTCTGATAGAGTAGTTCCAATGTGGAATGGGTTGCCAATACAGATGGTTGAATTGCCTTCTCAAGGGTTTAAAATAGGACAAGTAGATATTCCTCTGGCCTTTTCCACATGGCATAATCTATTGGTATTTTTGACCATTTGATAATGACTCCAGTGGATAGTAGAAAGTGAATTGATACGTGACATGATTTTGAATCTAATGTGCTCAGGTGTGTGTGGTAATGTGGTAGTCTGGCTGGCTTTGGAAGAAACGCCTGCCTAGAGGCAGAGATTTGAGTAGATGAAATCTCAGGGGTTCTTCTAGCCCTGTGATTTCCAGAAATTTCTCAGGTTGCCATCAAGACGTAAAGGATTAGAGATATAAGGCAAGAAATTGTTACAGCATTAGTTTGTTAATTCTTACTATTATTATTACTATTTATTATTACTTTAATAAAACCTGTTAGTAATAAAACCTGTTGCCGTCAAGTCGATTCTGACTCATGTTGACCCCTGCATTTAATACAAAAATAGTCTAAAAATCATAAGTGACTAAAAAGCAGAATAGAACTGCTTCATGGAGTTTTCTTGGCTGTAATCTTTACGGAAGCAGATCTCGAGGTCTTTTGCGATGCCACTGGGTGGGTTCGAACCACCAACCTTTAGTTGTTATTGTGTGCTATCGAGTTGATTCCAATTTATAGCCACCCTATACGACAGAGTAGAACTGTCCCATAGGGTTTCCTAGGCTGTAATCTTTACTGGAGCAGATCGCCAGGTCTTGTCCTTCTTGGAGCCGCTAGTGGGTTCAAACCTCCGACCTTTAGGTTCGCAGCTAAGCGCTTAACCATTGTACCACCAGGGTCCAGCACAAACCATTTGCACCCCTCGGGGATCCTGAGTACTTCAAGAACACTATTATATTCAATGAAGGGCTTTCACATTCCTTATTTTATTTGATTCTAACATGAATCTTGCAATCAGGTATAATTTGAGTACTGGCACATGTACAATGTTGCCTCTTTTTAAATCTAGGGGCACTTGGGGTGTTCTTTGGAGACAGCCCTCGCAGCGGTCCCTATCTCAGTAGGTCCGACTTTTCTGCACACAGGCACTTTCTATTAAAGCCTCCTCAGCCTGGTGACCAGCACTCTTGGTAGAGTTTTTACAATGTGACTTAAGCCCAGGGGCTTACCTATGGAAAATAGTGCCTATGGCAATTAGTTTTAAATTACTGAATGATTTCTCACAGCTGGCGGTGGAAACTGCAATTCCAACAGACACTGCTCGTTAGCGCCCCTCCTCAAGCGGCGTCCAGGGCACGCCCCCTACCAGCCAAACCTTAGTAATGCCTCTGCCTAAGCCTTTGCCCGTAAACAAAACCCGTTGCCGTTGAGTCGATTCCGGTGTAAAACTGCCCCATA